ATCAACACTGACTTGTCTGTATCTTGATTTATTTCCGGGTCTTCTGTATCTTGGTCTACCACCTGTTTGTGTGCTGGTTTTCATCACCAAAGCTCTGCAGTACAATTCAGGATGATGTATTGTAATGTATAATTGTGATGCTTCCATACTCTTCTTTCAAATTAGGGCTGCTTAACTGAAGATAAGGTTTAAATCCTGCCTTCACCTATTCCAGAGCATTTTTTGCTTCTATATGAATTTTAAGATTGTTTTTCTACTTCTGTGAAGAAGCTCTTGGAAGATGGATGGAGCCTGTGTCAACTCAGCAAGACTGTGTGTGATAACACAGACATTTTTACAATATTGATTCTGCCAATTCAAAACACAGGATGTTTGTCCATCATCTAGTGTCTATTTCAATTTCTTTCTTTGACTTCTTAAAGTATTCATTGTAAAGACCATTCATTTCCTTAATTAAGTTTATTCCTGTACATTATTTAGATGTCTTCAGGTAAGTGGTTTTTTTTTAGTCTCAGAAAATTTGAACACTATTCAAAAAGTCATTGAGTTTTGTATGTCTTTTTACCTTTCTACTTTGCTGAAAGTCTTTATCAGATCTAAGAACATTCCGGGAGAATTTTTAGGATGGTTAAATAGGTCCACACTAAAAGTGATAAATTTGCTTCTTCCTTTCCTACCTGTATCCCTCCTATTTCTTTTGTCTTGTTGATCTGACTAAAATTGGAAACATAATGTCAAATAAAAGAGGAGGAAGTGAGCAATCTTCTGCTTTAGATTTAAAAGAAATACTTTCAATACTTGCACTTCGGGTATACCAGCTGTAAGTTTACTGCACATAGTTTTATTGTATACAGTCATGCTCTTTCTATTCCTAGGTTTTTAGGACTCTAAATGTCAGCATATTTACAGCTTCCATCTGCTTGGTAGGTTCATTTCTGTCCTTTGACCCTCAGGTTTGGGGTGTTTCTGCAGAATTTCTTAGAGACAAGAAGTATTTGTTGTTTTTTCTTTTGTTTAGTTTTTTATCTGTTCAGTTAGTCTACATCTTTTAATTGCCGTGTTTAGACCACATTCATTTAAAATTATAGTTGAGAGGTCTTAGTTCTTTCTCATGGTTTCCTACTATTTGGTTGAATTACTAGTTATTTTTATCTTTCCCTGTTATTGTCAGTGGTTTGTTAGTTTACCTTCTTGTTAAATACATTCTTTTCTGCCATATTAAGGACTTTATTGGTTTTATTATTCCTCTGTGTATAATATTCCTTTAAACACATTCTGCAGTGCTGACTTGGTTGTCATTAATTATTTTAATTTTTGTTTTTTCTTGAAAATTCTTATTCTTTCATCAATTTTAAAAGACAACTTTGCTGGAAATAGCAACTTGGTTAACTATTTGCTTTTCAATCTTTAAGTACACATCCCATGCCTTCTTGCATTTTAGGCTTAATTATCACAGATGCGACTTATTCTGATACTTCTGCCTTTGTATGGGAATTGGTATTTTCTTTCTATCATTAATGTTGTTTAATTTATTTGTATTTTTGAAAACTTGAGTATGATATGTCATAGAAAAGTTCTTTTCTGGTGTTGTCTTCTGTAGTTTTAAGTGTATCTATAGAGAGTGTCTACATTTCCTTTGTTGGCTTGGCAAATGTTCTGTGATGATTTCATGATAATATGATATTATTCTTTATTTCAGCTCCTTATTGTTATGGTAAAAGCTTCATCCCAGTCACTGGCATCCATATACCCAACGAGTCTGGAATGTTATGATGGAATTTCCAACCAATCCCCTTTACCCTATCTTCCTCCAAACCCTGCTACATCTCAGAAAGCCTGCCAAATAATAACCCCTCCCTCAGAGATGCTCAGGACCACTCCCATAAGGTATTTAAACTGTCCCCCAGAAAACAGATGTATGGTTTTCAGGTCTCTCTCTCTCCCATCTCCTCTCTGGGGGACTGGAATGATATCAGAGAGTGTTGTATCCATTAAACATGGGCTTTTCCTAATTCGGTTTGATTTGGATTGCTGCATCAGCAGAGAGGCTTATGGGGGTACAGAAACTTTTCACTTCTTTGCCTTGTAGACTCTTAGGTTTGATGTCTGAATGTGTCCCATAGTTACTGAAAGTTTTGGACATACTCATTTCTTTTCTTTGTACATGTCTATCTTGATTTTTACCTTCATTCCCTGACCATCTTCCTTTTGTTTCTTTTCTTTTGTTCTCAGCTGTGGGTGATGCGCTCCACTGTTTGGTTTTGTTGTTGTGCCTTGCTTGTTTTCTTTGATTACCTGACTCTTCATTGTTTACCATTTTAGTTGTTGCTGTCTTTAACATCTCAATTTCCTTGCTAAATGTTTCCCTCATGCATTTTAATATATCTTCTAAACTTTCCATTGGTTCATCCACATTGATAAGTTTCTTATAGAGTCTAAATTGGTATCATTCATTTATCTATTTGTTGAGTTGTCTATTTGATCACTTATCCTTTTTAAATAGGATTTTTAGTTATTTTCTGGCATTTCATTATCTCTAGATTCTAGTATAAGGAAACTGTGAAATTAGGGAGGAATCATGGCAATGTATATCTTCCTACTGTGTGTGTGTGTGTGTGTGTGTGTTATGTTTCTTTATCATGTTATGCACATCTTTGACATATATGTGTCTTCCAGCATTTATATTTATGTCTTCTCTACTTTTTCTAGACTGCATGTCTTATTTTTTGTAAGTCTTTCTGGTTGTTAGAGTAATCCTTTTGTCTGGAGTTTGAGACTGGGGGTTTAGGGTAGAGGGTGGGGTACGCCAGCCAGGATAACTCTGTACCTGGTACTTGTGAGTAGGGACTGAGGGAGACTGGCTTCCAGAATCCATTTGGATACATTAGATAGGCACCTCAGTTAGCCATTTTGAGTTTGAGACTTAAGAGTTATGTCCCAAAGAATCTCAGGACAAATGACTGAGGTAACCTGTCAACATACCAAAGCAGACTCTGGCCACCTGGGTCTCTCAGCATCACAAGTTCTCAGATTTTCTCATCCCCACCACCTTCCTTAACCCCCTCCAGCCCCTGAGTTTTGCTTCGTGATTCCCATATAAAACAGCAATTTCAGCCACCCACTCTCTTCTTTCCTCTCATGTCCTAGTTCAGTCTACTGCTTTCTCTCACTGCTCTGAACTCCTCTAGACATCTCTGGCTGTACCCTCCCTTGTATATACAATAAAAACATTCTGCTCAGCCAAACCTTGGAGCCATCATGTCCTCATTTTCATTCCCTGGTGAGTTGTCACTTGGACATTTGTAACTCATTACTGTCTAGAGGGAGGTGCAGACTGCTTCAACCAATATGGAGATCAGGGAGCTCTTCGGTTTAGCTTACAGTAGAAGCACTGTGGATGCTTCCCCAATAAGGGTAAGAGAGAACGACTCTAGGGTACTGACTGAAGATAGTACATAGTACTTTTAGAGAAGGGTATTAAAAAGTATGCAATAAGAAGAGAAAGTGTAAAAGCTAGAATTCTGAGACATTATAAGGATTATAACGCGGGGAGCCATTGTAAGTTGGAGGAGAGATCTGGAACTACTGAGATCATTGCAGATCTACAAGAATGTCACCAACTGGCATTAAGGCTACTTTAAATGCCCTCCCCTGATAATGAGATTGATGACTACCTTATATGCCATCCTAGAAACCTCATCCAGTGACTGACAGAAGCAGAGACAGACACCTACAGCTAAAAGCAGAGCTGAACTCAGGGAACCCAGTTGCAAGGAGGAGTGATGAGCAAAGGAATCAAGACCAGGATGGCAAAACCCACAGAGGTAGCTGACCTAAACAAGGGGGATCTCATGGACCCCAGACTGATGACTGAGAGACCAGCATGGGACTGATCTAGACACCGCACTCCCCCCAAAAAAACCTGATTGTCAGAGAAGAGGCCTCGGCAATTTATGAAACCTTGGAGAGTATATCAGTATTCATTCCTGGCATAGAAATGGACCCTGGAAGGCCATTCCACATGGAGGGATGCTCTTTCAGCCTGGACACATGGGGGAGGACCTAGGCCCTGCCAAGGATTATATGACAGACTCTGAAAATTCCTCCTGAAAGGCCTTACCCTTCCTAGGGAGCAGAAGGGAGAGAAGTGGGATGGGGGATTGGGAGGAATGGCAGGTCGGGGAATGAGTTTGAGGGAAAGGGAACTGAAAGTAACATGTATACATGTATAAAAGATTTATAAACACTAATGGCAAAAGCAAAGTGATCTAGTGAAGAATTGATATTGCTATAAAAATAGTTTACTTGAAATTAACACACATTAAGTGCTATAATCCATCTGTAACTTCTGAACACTTATGTTTAAACTTGGTTCCCGAGGACTTACATTAATGGTATATTGCAGTGGAAACTTTGGAGGTAATTAAATTAGGATTATATGCCATCACGAGGGCACTTATCCCTTCACTGGGTGAGGAAGAAGGATCCAAGTGAGCAAGCCTGCTCCACCTCAGCCTGTGCTGTCCTGTCTACCCGGGGACATAGAGATCCCAGGCAGCAAGAAGTTTCTCCCCAGGTGCAGCTCCTTCACCTGGGTCTTCCTAGCCTCCAAAACCCATAAGGAATACAATTCCTTAGTTTATGCGTCACTAGTCAGCTGTTTTCAGTTACAGCAACAGAACAAATGATAAAACAATACTAAATATCAGGAATAAACAAAGCTAATGTTCCCAGGCAATCGGTTGAACAGTATCACCCATAGTTTGCCTGTAGACATCAGGGCTCTCTGCCAGTCCTCAAAAATCTCAAGTCTCCGGACTTTACCCAAATAAACCAGAAGGTGGCACAGTTGCCACTAGGGAGAAGCCAAATACAAAAAAAAAAAAAAAAAAAGGCATTCCAGGAAAAAGTCTTCTCACAGCTGAGAATCGAAAGTGAGATGGAGACAGCTTTTTTTTTTTCACTTCCTTATTCCCTGCCAGCATCAGACACACCCTGGTGTTTCTCAGTCGGTTTGAGCTGGTATCAAGGTACAGGAGTGGCTAGTTAAGCTTTCATCAAGACTAAATGAAGTTGTTTTTCTCTGACATCTCAGGACGGAGAAAATACAGATACCAGACATTTTTTTCACAAAAATGGATAGTTTTTCCTTTTTTTTTCAAACATGGAAGCAATTTGAAAGCTGGGTGAGTACAAAATCTCTCCTATTATTGTTGTTATTGCTAGTGTCTACAGAAACCGTTTATTGAACATGCAGAAATGTACTTTGTGGTTAGAAAGTCTGAATATACTTCAACACAAAAGCAATACTATCCTGAGCCTAGGTCTTCTGGACTCTGTGGTGTTGTGAAAGGATCTGCTTTATACTAGCCATAACATCCTATTCAAGATGCAGTTGACAGGTAGGGACACCTCTGTTAATATCCCCTGAAGGAAAGCAGCATCTTCAGGAAGTAAAAAGTAAACATTTTAATGTTTGCATCATTCAAAGGCACAGCCCACCCATCACTCTGAGGAACAGTCAGGTTAGAAGCAGAGTCCTTGACAGCCTCTGGGATATTAATGTCAAGTCAGGTCTGTCTGGGAGAGGCAGAAAGGGACTGACTGCCTGCTAGAGCTTCCTCTAGTAAGTTTGGAATCATGGCTGTTTATTTTCCCACTGAGAATCAGAGGCTCAGATCTGATTCCCCCAAGAAACTGATGATGCCATTCAAGGGGAATGTGTTGCTGAGTGAAGACCTCCTTCAGAAAAGCTGACAAACACACAGTCAGCCCTACAATTCATAAGTGTGTTTGCATGTTCAGTCATATAAATTCTGTTCCTTAATTTTATTGTGTGGGCTCAGAAGCAACCCTGGGGGACAGACACATAATTTTTTAACATCTGAAGTAGCCTTCCTCCTGCTCTTTTTTCCTAAGGGATTTTATGTATGTGTGATCCTGCAGTACCTTTGAGGGTTTCTGCAATCCTTTTAGAAACACAGGACAGTCTAAAAAAATAATTAAAACGGTGAAGTACAGAAAAGTTTTAGCCCTTCCAGTACATTCTGCAAGGGGCCTCTTCAGCAGATTTAAAGGATTGACTGAAGGAAGAACTATCAAGACTCTATGTAGGCTTTAGAACGGTCATTCTCACCCCTTTGCAGGGCTCAAATGACCTTTTCACAGAGGTTGTCTAAGACCATCAGAAAACACAGATATTTACATTACTGTTCATAACAGTAGAACAATTAGAGTTGTGAAGTGGCAATGACAATAATTTTATGGTTGTGGGTCACCATAGCATGAGGAACTGTGTTAAAGGATCATAGCATTAGGATTGTTGAGAACCACTGCTCTGGAGTGTAGAAAATGAAGTGTGTTCAGTTGCATACACTAGGAGTGAGAACACTGACAATTCGCCCCTTACAATTGTATTTGCTTACTTTCTGAACCAAATATTCCAGCCCAGCTCTCCATACCTCCAACCCTGATAGGAGGACTCAGCCTTATATTCTAATATGTTTATGGCATGCAGGGCAGGTGCACATAAGTCACCTAACTCACGACTCCCCCATGTATTTTTACACTATTACACCCAGAGGGGTGGGGACCACATGTGTGTGGAAGGTTTTCACTGATAAAGTTAGGGAGACTCCAGTTGTCCTGATAAGATGTGGCACAAGAACCCTGGACTTGTACCGAGGAGCCTGGCATACCAGGCAGCTGAATGACCGTCATGTGCTCACTCTGTGTCTCGGTAGTGAGTAGGCAGCAGAGGTGGGCTGGACGGGGGAGCAAAAGCAGGTAATAGCTAAGGCTCAGAGCTGGACAGTTACACGGGAGTGTATGAGGCTGTGCTTATGTATGGGAGTAACTAGTGGTCAGTGAGAGCTGGTGTTAGACAGTTGCAAAACCAGTAATGGCACTGTCATTTCCTGCCCCTTTCTCCGCGTCCACGAGTCAGATCCCTTGGACAGGAGGCAGCAGTGACAAACTGGAGATGGCAGCTCTTTGTCATTGACACAGCCCTTGTACCACGCCTGGGTCATTTCTATTGCGTCCAGAAGATTGTCATCCACGATGATGTAGACAAAAGATGTGGAAATTGATGCTCTTAAGATCTTTTTGCTTTATAATTTGTTAATCGAGCAGTATTAGAAAACTATGATGGTACAAGTGCTGGCAAGTTGGACCAGGCCAAGGTGGGCTTCTGTGCACAGAGAGGGTCGTATATCCGATGCCTGGTGTCCTTTAGAATCTTCCCTTTCTGGTCGAGCCAGTACTAAAAGTACTGAAATGTTATGAAGGAATAGACAATAGTGTACCTATCTGTTGTACTATTCGTTTACTGGATTCATTTGTTCTTAGGAAGTTTACTTTGAAACAGGATACATAATGAATTTGCATTTCTGTCAGGGAAGAAAAGGCAGAAAGAATGTTGCCTTAAAACAAGGCCAATGCAATGATACATTATTACAAAGCCCTCTGACATGGAAGGTGATGGCATTGAGCAGGCCTCTGGCAGAGAAAGCATGGTCATTTGGAGTATCAGTTTAGGGATTCTGCTACTGAGCTGTTTTTATGGATGATGTGCACCAGCATTGAGATGTTACTGGGGGTGTATCAGCAAGTTTGCTGCTGCAGTCGCTTGCATGATGCAGGAGAATCCAACTTTTGGACATTTTGACAGGTTGTCATACACAAAGTTCATATTTGAAAAATCATGCCCTCCACCACATGCATAATGTTTTAAGTAAGTTTATAACTATGGGTTGGACAATATTTATAACTGTCCTTGTGTGTGTGCAACCAGAGAGCTGTGGATTAGATAAGCCTACAAGACATAAATAAAACATCTTCCTGTCAGTTTTTAGAAACTTAAAGTGCAACAGTGTCCTAATATGGAGCTGGAGAGATGACTCGGTGGGTAAGGACAGCATTTACTGTGTGTGCAAGTATGAGAAACTGAATCAGAATCCTAAGCTTGAACTTCAAAAGCCTGTGAGTAGTGACCTGCCTGTAACCCAAGCAAGCTGTGGAGTGGAGACAGGGAGACTGTTGGTTGTTGCCAGTTACTAGCTGCAGTCTGAGTAAGAAAACCTCACTCTGAGGGATAAAGTAGATCGTAACAGAGCAGGACTCCCAATGTCTTAAGCCATATAAATATATGCATACTCATGCACACATGCATGCACACACACACACACACACACACGTACGCACACATGCACACACACGCACACACTAACGGGCTTACAGGCATGCTTGCACACAAATTAGTACAAATAAGTAAAAAAATTTAAATGCCATAATAAAAAACTCATTATTTGGTAAGCTGACTAAAAATGTTAGTGAAACTATGATATGCTGGTGGTGTAGACTCTATTTGTAAACTGGCAAGTTAAATTCATAGTGTAAGAGTCCTATTCACGCCGGGCGGTGGTAGCGCATGCCTTTAATCCCAGCACTCGGGAGGCAGAGGCAGGTGGATCTCTGGGAGCTCGAGGCCGGGCTAGACTGACAGCCTCCAAAACAATACAGAGAAACCCTATCTCATAAAAACCAAAAAAAAAAAAAAAAAAACAGAGTCCTCTTCACTGAAATCAGTCTGATTATTTAGAAGGTTTATTCCACTTCAAAGTCTGCAAATGGGACACTGCATTTAAAAAGCCACCAATGCCTCTAAAATGCAGTGTGATTTATATGACATGAGCTTTTCTCCATGACACAGTTCTGATGTTTCTCTATACCTTCATTTATGCAACTTCCCACATTCAGAGTACTTGTTCCCATTTAAGGAAGCACACCCTTAAGCAAAACTTACTGCCATAGATTAACTCTGTCTGTCCTGGAACTTCATGGAAAGACATCCATACAATGTGTTCTCAGTGTCGGTGCCTTAGTTGCCTCCCTCTGGTATGTGTAAGAGTTATCTCTGTTGTTGCTGAATCAGCACTTCAGTCTCCCCCGCCCCACTAAAATCATTGACGTATAATGTAAGTATATACTTAAGTTGATAAAAGCATTCAAATAATTTTTCAGACTAACTGAAAGAATTTGCATCCCCACCAGCACCTTCCAAAAGCTCCATTCACTCTCAGCTTTCACCAACGTTTGGACTTATGGGTGTTTAATATCAGCGGTTCTGGTTGGCATGTGTTATTACATCCATTCAATTTAATTTCGAATGTCTGCAATGGGTTAAGATTTTGGAACTGCTGCAGATTCTGATCAGTTGCACCCACCCAAGTGGTCGTCAAAAGCTCCACTGGTTTTTCATCCTCCTACTAGTCCTATCTTCTCCTCAGCTCCAAACCAGAGTCAGAAAATTGTCCCGAGTCTACCTAAAGTCCTCTCTATCCACAGAATTTTGGCATGCTGCTCTCATGTCAGGTGTCTTCAATTCGATAACTTCAAAACTCTAAGCTTTCCAAACTCTTTAGTCTTGTTTCTTGTCTCTACAGTGGGAGCATCAGTTACCTCTGTGATCTTGGACCTTACACTGGGCAGTGGGACTCCTTTCCCTGATTCTCCGGTCAGTGTTGGTAAGTTATATATTTCATCTCACTTTTCAAACTTTATCCACATAAAGTTGGTTGTAATATCCTCTGATTCACTTAACTTTTGTTGTAGTATCTGGTGAGTTCTTTAATTTTCCACCTGCCTGTCAATTTTATCACCTTTATTATTGAGTACCACTTGGGGCTTTGCTGGGTGCCTAATTGTAATTGTGTTTTCTGCTTTTCTCTTTAGATTTCTTCTTCTGAGTCTATTTTCTCCCTCTTTCTTCCCTGTTTAAGTTTGCTGTGTTGCACTTTAAACTCTCCAAGTTATCAGTCATTCTTTTACTTTTTTAAATTTTAAATTAGAAACAAGCTTGCTTCACATATCAATCTCAGCTCCCTCTCCATCCCCTCCTCCTCTGCCACACCACCAGACTCCCCAGCCCCCCATCCAATCCCCACTCCATTCCCCAGGGAGAGTGAGGCCCTCCATGGGGGATCTCCAGAGTCTGTCATTCATTCAGGGCAGGGCCTAGGCTCTCCTGCAAGGCTGAGAGAGCATCCCTCATTGTAGGATGAGCAGCCAAAGTGAATTTGTATGCCAGGGATGAATACAAGGCCCCATAGATTGCCTAGGCCTCATAATTGACACACACATTCAGGGGGTCTGAATCAATCCCATACTGGCCTCTCAGCCATTACTCTGTGGACTAAGAGCTCTGCCTTGTTCAGGTCAGCTGTTTCTGTGGGTTTCACCAGCCCAGTCTTGATCCCTTTGCTCAACACTCCTCCCTTTCTGTCACTGGATTCCAGGAGTTCAGTTCAGTGTTTAGCTGTAGGTGTTTGCCTCTGCTTCCATCAGTCACTGGATGAAGGTTCTAGGATGGCATATAAGGTAGTTGTCAAACTCATTATCAGGGAGGGGCATTTAAGGTAGTTTCTTGACTATTGCTTAGTTTGCCAGTTGGTGTCATTCTTGTAGATCTCTGGAAATCTCACTTGTGCCAGATCTCTCCTCAAACCTATAATGACTCCCTCTATTGTGGTCTCTCTCATCCTGCTCTGCTCTATTCTTCTCCCTTCCTGCTCCCCCATGTCCTCCTCTCCCATCCTCTTATCCCCCTCTCTTTTTCCCAACTCCCTTCCCCCTCCTCCCCTTGCTCCCAATCTGCTCAAGAGATCTTGCTTCATTCCCCTTCTCTGGGGAAACATGAATATCTCACTTAAGGTCCTTCTTGTTTGCAAGACTCTCTGGTAGTGGGATTATAGGCTGGCACTACTCTGATCCATATCTAAAATCTATATATGAGTGAGTACATACCATGTTTGTCTTTTTATGACTGGGCTACCTCACTCAGGATGGTTTCTTCTAGTGCCATCCATTTGCCTGCAAATCTCAGGATTCCATTGTTTTTTCTCCTGAGTAGTACTCTGCTGTATAGATGTACCACATTTTCTCTATCCACTCTTCAGTTGAGGGGCATCTAAGTTGCTTCCAGGTTCTGGCTAATACAAACAATGCTGCTGTGAACAGAGTGGAACAGACGCCCTTGTTGTTTGAATGGGCATCTTTTGGATATATGCCTAAGAGTGGAATTGCTGGATCTTGTGGTAGACTGATTCCCATTTTCCTGGGGGAATCTCCATACTGGTCTCCAAACTGGTTATAGGAGTTGGCACTCCCAACAGCAGTTGAAGAGTGTTCCCCTCTCTCTACATCCTCTCCAGCATAAACTGTCATTGGTGTTTTTTATTTTAGCCATTCTGACAGGAGTAAGATGGTCTCTCAGAGTTGTTTTGATCTGCATTTCCCTAATGGCTAAGGATGTTGAGCACTTTAAGTGTCTTTCAGCCATTTTAGACTCCTCTATTGAGAATTCTTTATTTAATTCTGTACCCCACTTTTTAATTAGATCGTTTGGTGTTTTGGAGACTTGCTTCTTGAGTTCTTTGTAAATTTTGGAGATCAGCCCACGGTCAGATGTGGGGTTAGTGAATATCTTTTCCCATTCTGTGGGCTGCCTTTTTGTCTTGTTGACTGTGTCCTTTGCCTTACAGAAGCTTCTCAGTGTCAGGAGGTCCCATTTATTAATTGTGGATCTCAGGACTTGTGCTCCTGGTGTTATGTTCAGGAATAAGTCTCCTGTGCCAGTTTGTTCAAGGGTCCTCCCCCTTTCTCTTCTAAGAGGTTCAGTGTGGCTGAATTTATGTTGAGGTCTTTGATCCATTTATACTTAAGTTCTGTGCATGGCAATAGACATAGATCAATCTGCATTCTTCTACATGGCAGCATTCAGTTATGCCAGCACCATTTGTTGAAGATGCTTTTTTTTTCCACTGTATAATTTTATCTTCTTTGTCAAAGATTAGGTGTTCATACATGTTTGGTTTAATATTGTAGGTTAGGGTTAGGGTTATGGGTAGGGTTATGATTATGGTTATGGTTTTGGTTAGTGTTAGTGTTAAGGTTAGGGTTAGGGTTAGGGTTAGAGTTAATCAGGGTGCTCAATTCTATTCCATTGGTCTACCTGTCTATTTTTGTGCCAATACCAAGCTGTTTTCAGGACTATAGCTCTATAATAGAGCTTGAAGTCAGGGATGGTGATGCCTCCAGACGTTGCTTTGTTGAACAGGATTGTTTTGGCTATCCTGGGTCTTTTGTTTTTCCATATAAACTTGATAATTGTTCTTTCAAGGTCTGTGAAGAATTGTTCTGGGGTTTTGATGGGGATTGCATTGAGTCTGTAGATTGCTTTTGGCAAGATTGCCGTTTTTACTACATGGAAACTATCTAACAGCATGGGAGATCTTTCCACCTTCTGGTGTCTTCTTTAATTTCTTTCTTTAAAGACTCAAAGTTCTTGCTACACAAGTCTTTCACTTGTTTGATTAGCGCTACCCCAAGGTATTTTATGTTGTTTGTGGCAATTGTAAAGGGTGATATTTCTCTGATTTCTTTCTCAGCCCTTTTATTGTCTGTATACAGTAGGGCTAGTGATTTTCTTGTTTTGATCTTGTATCCTGCCACTTTGCTGAAGGTATTTATCAGCTTTAGGAGTTCCCTGGTAGAGTTTTTTTAGGTCGCTCATGTAAACTATCATATCATCTGCAAATAGTGAAAATTTGACTTCTTCTTTTCCAATTTGTATCCCCTTGATCTCCTTTTGTTGTCTTATTGCTCTAGCTAAAACTTCAAGTACAATATTGAGCAGATATGGGGAGAGAGTGGACACCCTTGTCTTGTTCCTGATTTTAGAGGAATTGCGTTGAGTTTCTCTTCATTTAGTTTGATGTTTGCTGTTGTTTTGCTGTATATAGCTTTTATTATGTTTAGGTATTTTCCTGTTATCCTTGATCTCTCCAAGACCTTTATCATGAAGGGGTGTTGAATTTTGTCAAAGGCTTTTTCAGCATCTAGTGAGATGATCATGTGATTTTTGTTTTTCAGCTTGTTTATATGGTGGATTACATTGATGGATTTTTGTATGTTGAACCATGTCTGCATCCCTGGGATGAAACCTACTTGATCATGGTGAATGATTGTTTTGATGTGTTCTTGGATTGGATTTGCCAATATTTTATTGAGTATTTTTGCATCAATGTTCATGAGAGATATTGGTCTGAAGTTCTCTTTCTTAGTTGTGTCTTTGTGTGGCTTGGATATCAAGGTTATTATAGCTTCATAAAAAGAGTTTGGGAAAGACTCTTCTGCTTCTATTGCGTGGAATACTTTGAGGACAATTGGTATAAGCAGTTCTTTGAATTTCTGGTAGAATTCTGCACTGAAGCCATCTGGCCCTGGGCTTTTTTTGGTTGAGAGACTTTTGATGACTGCTTCTATCGCCTTAGGCTTTATAGGTCTATTTAAATTGCTTATCTGTTCTTGATTTAATTTTGGCAAGTGGTATCTATCCAGAAAATTGTCCATTTCCTTTAAATTTTTGCATTTTGTGGAGTATAGGTCTTCAAAGTATGACCTGATGATTCTCTGGATTTCCTCACTGTCCGTTGTTATGTCTCCTTTTTCATTTCTGATTTTATTAATTTGCACGTTCACACTCCTCTGTTTGATAACTTTGGATAAAGGTTTGTCTATCTTGCTGATTTTCTCAAAGAACCAACTCTTTGTTACATTGATTCTTTGTATTGTTCCTGAGTTTTTACTTTATTGATTTCAGCCCTCAATTTTATTATTTCCTGGCATCTGCTCCTCTGGGGTGAATTTGTTTCTTTTTGTTCTCGAGTGTTTAGTTGTCCTGATAATTCTCTAGTGTGACTATTCTCCAGTTTCTTCATGTGGTCCACTTAGTACTATGAACTTCCCTCTTAGCACTGCTTTCTAAGTGTCCCACAAGTTTGAGTATGTTGTGTCTTCATTCTCATTGAATTCTAGGAAATCTTTCATTTCTTTCTTTATTTCTTCTTTGACCCAGGAATGGTGCAATAGCACATTATTCAATTTCCATGAGTTTGTAGGGTTTCTGCAATTTGTGTTGTTGTTGAACTCTAACTTTAAGCATGGTGGTCTGATAAGATACATGGAGTTATTCCAATTTTTTGCACCTGTTGATGTTTGTTATGTTGCCTAGTATGTGGTCGATTTTTGAGAAGGTTCCATGTGGCGCTGAAAAGAAGGCATATTCTGTTGTGTTTGAATGGAATGTTCTGGAGACGTCTGTTAAACCCTATTGGGTCATATTTTCTATTAGTTCCTTTAATTCTTTGTTAAGTTTCTGTCTGGTAGACCTGTGTAGTGGTGAGAGTGGGGTGTTGAAGTCTCCTACTACAAGTGTGTGAGGTTTTATATGTGATTTGTGTTTTAGTAATGTTTCTTTTAGGAACATCGATGCCTTTGTATTTGGGGCATAGATGTTCAGAATTGAGACTTCATGTGGGTGGATTTCTCCTGTGATGACTATGAAATGACCTCCTTCATCTCTATCTTGTCTTCAAACCCTGAGTCTGTCTTCCATTTCTAGTATTCTGTTGGTGAAGCCTGCCTTTGAGATTCCTGTATTTTTCATATCCAGTTTTATCTCAGT